CTAAAATTGACATAGATACTTTATTATGGTATAGTATTTAAATATATGCCTGAGAAACATAATATTGGCCCTTTAACTAAGAGCCTCTTATTCTATATTGCACTACTTCCTTTCTRCTGGGTTCAAGGTACAGAAGGCATAAACAGTGTGTTCCACAGTGTAACTGTGTCAGAACAGCTCCTGATCTACAGATAGAGGCATCTGTTTTGAGGAATGCTAGAATTTCTCTTTGATATGGCAAGTGATGCTGTAAGCAGTTCAGGCGCACTGTTTTGAGATCATTCAAACGTGTACTTGCTGCATTATATGAGTGAGAGAGTGAATGGTTGATTGTCTTGTTTGACTCTATGTGATGGACTTGAGACCTGTCCAGGGTGTACCCCGCCCATTGCATAGTGACTGCTGGACATTTGCACCAGTGACCCTGAAAAGAAGAAGCAGGTTAAGGTAATGGATGGATGGRTTGCTGGCTGCATCAGTCCATTTTAAGCCAGCTTGAGTATTTGGATGAGCTCTTGGAGTGGCTCAGTTGTTGCACAGCTTGGTAGAAATACACAGGAGATTAATGCACGATTTATCAAACTTTTCTCTTGCTATTTCCAGTGTCTCACTCTCTGTTTTTCATTGGCTCTTGATAACATGTTTGCAGATGGGTCAGTAATCATTTTACACTGACTGGTTGTGTCCAGATTCAGCTCCAGAAACTCAAACATTTGATTGATGGTAACTATGATCAGGTGTGTTCCCCTCACACTACGACATTTTGTGGCGGCTAGCCATGCTGACTGTCCACAACTAAAGAAGACTTTTCCCAAGTAGGAATTGTGGGTAAGAGCTGGCAAAGCACTGTAGTGTCTCTTCAGCTGTAGTGAATATGGGCCTCAGTTTTATCAGATCTACATTTGGCATTAAAACGTTCATATTTTATTGTTACCAAACATTTCCACTCTGTTTATGTTTAGTTACACCAACTGGGACATTTTGAACTAAGACAGAGTACTTCAGATTAAAAGCCCATTATTGCTTGTGTTTTCATGAACACATCACAAAGACTACAGCAACAGCAAGTAAATGACATGTTTTCCACATTCTGTGGCTGCTTATGAACACAAAACTACGGGTTTATTTCTAAAAACACACTGATGAAAAAATAACAACGGGATTCCAAATAAACTGAGATAAATGAGAGCTTTTTTGTTTTGTGTTTGGGTTACCGGTGTCTTGTAGCAGCAATAATTTAAAACACCTTTAGTTGGTGCTGTTGTGTAATGGGCTTTGTTTATCTGCAGTTCTGTGAAACAGCTACAAAAGAAGGTAGACAGGAAGTAGCAGCGTTAAAGTAAGTTTGGTTTCAATATCCTCATGTCTCATGAAATTTAACAAATACTCAACTCAGTAGTCATCCCATTATTCATTGGCACCATACGTTTGCCATTACTTGGAGTTCAGTATCTGTATCTGTATTTAATAGTTGTTTGTGTAGTTATAATTTATGTTGGGGTCTGCTGGAAAGAGTTGCACAAAGCACTGCCACAGAGCTAGACAGGTTCCTTACAGGTTGTCTTGTTACAGGAGGTATGAGTAAGTAAAACTGACTACTAAACTTAGACAACTACTAACTTGTGTTCCAGTGGGTGATGGGAGCCAAACAGCAAACACMGGTGTGTAGGTGGGTTTGTGATACACATCTGTTTCCAACCGTCCTCCATCAGAAACTGAGACATCACAGTCCAGGAACACCAACCTGCCATCTTTTACATCCTCTCAAATGAACTTTATATATTTATCTACAGAGTTATCAGTGAAATATTGGACTTCCTGGGATTTAATTTTAACCCAGGAGTCATCAACATACCTGAACCACAAAACTTTATTTTCAAGACTTGCCAATAAGAATATAATTTTGTCATTTCTCAACAACATATGATTTTAGTCTAAAATTCTGACATGAAATGTGGAGAATATGTGTAATTTAAGGAATGGCCAGTTTAATGTGTTTTTTTTTTTTTTTTTTGTCTGCTGCATTTGTCCAACAGTGTAAAATTTGTGATTGTGTCAGAATCAGAAACACTTATTTAAAGCTCAGCAGGCTATAAAAAAAGAAGCACACTGGTACCTACCTACTCTGTGATTTCATCAAGGAGCAGCACTCTGATAAAATAAACTCTTACAGGATATTAAACAGCTCGTAAACCTTTCGAGGCCTGTGTGCTTCTTTTTAAAACACCTCCTGGTATCTCAAGGAAAGGGTTTGAATATTTGGGGAGTTGTGATTGTGCCCTGCTCACCACATCTTATGTAAGTTTGTCCTATAGAGGTAAACAGAAAGTGTCTAAAACTAGTTAAACCTTATAAACCATATGGTACCAAAGTATGTGTGAAGAAAATACAGCAAATTTTCAAAGTTCATGAGTGCAAAACTCCCAGCTCTTRGTAATGGATTAAGATAAATTGATTTGTTTTCTTGCTTTTTGCTGTGTATTTACTGTGGTGGCTGATGAAAGCCAATGGATAAATAATTATGTGGATGAATGACGAGTTTCTTTGGTTTCACTTTTCAGATTAACTTAGAACAAAGAGTTCATTTAACGTTGGGGTTATGGGCACAACTTTCCTTACAGACATTTTTTAACCTAAAAAGGGAAACTGTGTTCCTCTGTGGGAGGTTTGGGGAAAGAGCTTGTGGACAATAGCCTGGTGATTGATCCTTGGCAGATAGGGCTCAGCTGGACCGAGCTTGAAAAGACATCAGGAAACCAGCTCCCAGTGGATCCCCCACATGCAAGAAGAGCCATCAAGGTAGATGCTTTGTTAGCCAATGTGGAAGATGAGGGAGGGTCTCTGGTTGTGCTTATTCCTGGAAAAAATCATAGAGAAAATATTGTCGATCACAAGTGGAATCCCCCCAGACTCCAACAGAAGAACTACTAGTCCCCCACTTAGCACTACAACCAGAAGACTTTCTTCACCCCAGACCTCAACAGGACAGCAAGTGGAACGTCCCCTCCTGGATTTGACAAACATGGACGAACTTGTTGAACTCTGAACCTAACTCACACCCAGAGTTGTAAAGTAACTGAGTACAAATACTTTGCGATTGTACTTAAGTAGAATTTTTGGGTATCTGTACTTTACTTGAGTAATTTAATTTCAGTCTACTTTCTACTCACATGTTTTGAAAAAGGCAAGAAGTAGAAAGTCGTTACTTTTATTTCACTTTTGCTTGTTTTCATTCCAGTTGATTGTAAAAAATAAATATTATCTATATAAACTGTGCCTTTTAGATAGAGTGAATTTAATTGTGGTTGAATGAGAAGTATATATATA